GATCTTTGATTGTGTTTGTTTTGTTCATGATATCAGTCCTTGTTGGTGTAAGTTTGATCATAAATCAGTTAAATGCGTATTCCTTAGTTACTCTCCAGTCCAGAAAGGCTATAGATGTTTTGATTCCTTATCTAGCAAGAGATATGTCTATAAAGATGTTACCTTTTTGGAGTCCTCTTCCTTTTTCTAGTCATCCTGTCCTTCTCTTCAAGGGGAGAATGCGAGTGAAGATCGGACTCCCTTTTGTCTTCCTGTTCCTACCTCTATTCCTCCCTCTCTTCCTTGTAATGATGGTATTCTTTCTCCTCCTCCTCCTCCTCCTATGTATCAACCTCAGTCCTAGCAACAGTTTTTCATCAGGCACAGTAAGAGGGTGGCTCCTGAAGCTGAATGCCCATCACAATCTGATTCCCTAGACTCAAGTAATCTTGAAGCTCCTAACAATCCTATTATTGATTTTGACATTGATCTTCCTATTACTATTCGAAAAGGGAAGAGGACATGTAGCAAGTATCCTATTAATAACTATGTGTCTTATGATGCTCTCTCACCTTCCTATTATGCCTATATTTCTACCATCTCTTTTGTTTCCATCCCTCGCAGTGTTACAGAGGCAATGCAGTCCCCTCATTGGAAGGAAGTTATGAACCAAGAAATGGAAGCCCTAATAAAGAACCAGACTTGGGAGGTTGTTCCTTGCCCAAAAGATAAGATTCCTGTTGGGTGTAAGTGGGTTTATGCTATTAAGCACAAGGCAGATGGCTCAATTGAAAGGTACAAAGAAACGTGTGCCGCTTGAAGAAGTCTTTGTATGGGCTAAAATAGTCTCCAAGAGCATGCTTTGACAGGTTCAGGAATGTCATATTAAAGACTGGGTTTGCTCAATCTCAGGTTAACCACACCTTATTCATTAGAAGAGTAGATGGTAGAGTAACAATGTTGATAGTATATGTTGATGACATTGTTATGACAGGTGATGATATCACAAATATCTCTTAATTAAAGTCCTTCATCTTCTGAATTTGATATTAAGGACCTTGGTGATCTCCGATATTTTCTTGGCATTGAAGTTGCAAGATCCAAGAAAGGAATTTTTCTGTCACAAAGGAAGTATGTACTTGTTTTGCTTCATGAAGTTGGGAAATTAGGGTGTAAGCCTGCAAAAACTCCAATTGATCCTAACCACACGTTAAGTTCCACTGAAGGAGAAGTTCTTCCAAACAGGGGAATATATCAGAGATTGGTAGGCCTTCTGTATTCTGCTTGACTGAACCTGACATATCCTATGTTGTTGGAGTGGTTAGCCAATATATGCATAAACCTAGGACATCTCATATGCATGCAGTTAACATAATTTTAGCCTACCTGAAAGGATGCACTGGTAAAGGGATGTTGTATTTCAACCACAACCATCTAAATATTGAGGCTTACACAGATGCTGATTAGGCAGGGCCCATTGATGATAGAAGATCTACATCTGGTTATTGTCTTAGTGGGAGGCAATGTGGTTTCATGGAGAAGTAAGAAATAATCTGTGGTTGTTCGTTCTAGTGTTGAGGCAAAGTACAGGGCAATGGCTCATAGTGTCTTAACTACTCTGGTTGAAGACCTTATTGACTGAGATGGGCATCCAAGCAGATTTGCCTTCTTTTTATAAGGTCGGAAGACCAACTAGTTGATTGCCTTACTAAAGGTGTTCACCATCCAAAGTTTGCTAAGAACCTTGACAAGCTGGGCATGACTGACATATATGTTCATCTTGAGGGGGTGTTTTGAGATCGCTTAAACAGGGGTATTTTTGGAATTTTTTCTCTTCCTTGTACTATTTTTGTATTTGGGTGCCCAAGTAGGGGCTTCCTTGTAATTACTATTTTCAAAGTATAAAGTTATTTTTTTGAGGGTGTAAACAATGATAAGAACACACCCCTCGACACATCTCTTCTTCTTCTTCTTCTCTCCACTTGCTTTCTCTCTTTTAAACCCTAGTTTCAACTTTTGTTTGTCAACTTTTTTATCATTTAACCAAACCAACTCACACTCCCCACCAAACCTCAGGACTAGTGCACTTATATCTGTATCCCTTGGAAGATCTAGAAGAGACACAACAAGCCTCGGATCCATGTCAACCAAGGGATCAAGTGTTGGTGGAGGAGCCACATTTAAAGGAATATAAGCCTTTCCCTCGAGAATCCGTGCTGGAGCCTTGGACTTGGGGTGTAACATGAACCACTAGGAACCGCTTTGGCTCCCATCCTGCTGCATTAACTAAAAGCTTCCATCTCTCAGCAATTTGTCTTACTGCATCTCTCTTCTCCTTCAACATCGGACAAAAAACATGAACCCTTAGACCATTCATAGTACCTCCTTTACTCTTACCAAGCACTAAGAACTAGAACCGCTCTTCAATAGACAACACCCAATTTGGGTCACGTCGAAACAAGTCCGCAAGCAAATCGGAAACCGTGGAGTTTTCTCCAAGATGAAGGGCATCCAAATTCGGTGATGTGATATTGAAAGCATCTGCAAGGACTCGTTTATGCTACATTTTCTCACATTCATCGTCACAAACAAGCTTCCTCTGACCAAGTGGAACTTTCTTGCCATTTGCTTCCACAGGTTGAAGAGGCACTAGCAACTTCGCAATAATAGAAGCTTCAAAGATAGTATCAACATGAGAGCCACCTCCAACATCACAAGGGATTGTGGCAGTTATTCAACCACAAGAACAAGTAATTGTCATAGGGAAATCACATCTTAGATCAGAACAAGGTGCTAAGGGATGACAAACGGTTGTGCATGTATGCTTACAATCTCTCCTTGGAGCCCCACATATTTGCCCACAAGATGACTTTGAACCAGAAGACCCAGATGAAGAATCACAGGGTGGTGGGTGGTAGGTTTTTCCACAAGCATGCATGCCACATTGTTGTGTCTTGCCACATAGCTGATTACAACGAATATGTTCCTGAGAACCACATGCCCACCTATGCACTCCTTTGCCACCGGAATTGAACAAGGTGGACAATCTCAAAAGTGGCAACTGTGTGAAGAGGGATGACCGTAAGGCTGAGGGACTGAACATGGCTGCTGACATGAAGGAGGGGGTGTACCACAAGGCAATGGAGTTGGAATTGAAGTCTTCCCACAAGCACAAGTGAGATCCGTGAATATGGTTTCAAGGCAAGGTGGGCAGTGGGCGTTGTGGCAGAGGGACTGACAAGAATGCTGCCCACACCTAAGCTTCTTCCCACAGATCATTGAGCATAAGTGTGGATCCCAATCACCCACGATCCGATTGTTGAAATTAGAGAGAGGACAACACCTTTCGCTGCATCTATGCCTCCCACAATTCTTGTTCTTCCCACAAGGTTTCTCACAGACGAATTTATCCCTCTCTTCAATTGTTCTATAGCATTCAACAGTACGAGAAGACAATCCACAACGGCATTTTTGGTTGACAAGAACCAAACAAGGTGCACAATCCCCAACATGGCAAACATCCTTACAGTTGTGAACTCCACGAGGAAGGAGTTTACCACATGTTTGCGAACAGGTCAGAATAGGGTCCAAACAACTCTGTCTTTCCTTGTGTAACTTTGTTTTACCACAGCAGCAGGTCTTAATCCTCCACGGCATTAACTCACAATCCCCACATGGGCTAGGATGACAAATCTCTCGCATACGTGATTTCCACAGGCAAGCTTCTTTTGGCAATAGGAGTTACATGAAAAAACACCGTCGTTTGCTGATACTTCACCCTTCACAGCCATCTCTCCGCAAAGAACAACTTCCGTGCTTTTCCTGCAGAAGCATGACGCATTGGTGAGAACCTGACAAGGATCACATAGCCCCGTGTGGCTAATCCTTCCGCACCGATGACGCCCACATTCAAGTAGCTTATTGCAGTTTTGTCCGCAAGAAAGAACATTTTTCTTAACGAAGCATCTTGTGGTGATTGTTTTTTTTTTTCCGCAAGCACACAGGCGCGGGCGAGCAAAAGCTTTACAAGGAAGGCATGGACTGTTATGGGCCCGAGCGTAGGATTGCGTCACGGGTCGTTCCACAGCAGGAACCCCTGATCTTCCCTTGCCTTTGGTCTTACGCACTGACCCTATTTTGCCTATCTAGTGGGTGATTTGTCCAAGAGACCACCCGAACTCTCCCTTGGGGTGATTTGTCCAAGAGACCACCCAAACTCTCCTCACTCTTTTCTTGGCTGAAAAACTGAATAATGTT